TGGTATGATAAAGTGAGCATTAAAATTAACAAGTCCATAAGCTATGAACAAGCACCATTATTACTTTTCAAAACGTCATCAGCCACCCTGGTCAATTTTACAGCCACATCATAATCAGCCTCTCATTTATGAAATGTTCACTTTGTTTGGTTTTGTTGCAGCATGCCCCATTTAATAAAATTTAATACTATTACTATACCATGGTACTTTACAAGTATCTCGTGTAACAATCTGATCATGGGCTTCAATGGTACTATGCTAGGGGTGGTACTCCCGTAAAATACGGTAGTTCTATATTTTCGTTTTTCCCGGACTCAAGTGCCCCGGGTATAATTCGGGTAGTATGTACGTAGTCAAACCCGATAAGATAAAGTCGACAGGCTGGAGGTAATAGTTTGATCTATAGAAGCTTAATTTCTATATTAATATGATATATTGCAACACCAACACAAATAATTACTATTGCGGTGGGAATATTGGGTTGTACTGGACTGTTTGTGTGTTTAAATGACTTGACAGTCAATACTCGAACAGCGTTGTCCGTTAAAGTCTTTTTTGTAATTGATCGAGGTTTGTATTATCAGAGAATGAGTTCGATATATTCTTGCGTTTATTCTTAATGGAGGATAGTTCCCGAATCAAAAGGTTAAGAAAGTTTAGTAACACATATTTTTTAATTAAAGAAGATATTATCGGAAGCGTGAGAAATCTCTAATAGTTTTATCGGCATTATAATAAAATTTATATTATCGAGGAGTATTTTTAATACGAAAATTTGGGCGAGATTTTTATCTTGGGCGATTTGTCTTTATTTTATGGAGAATTATGTATTTAATTAGAAAGTAAATTAAACGTGTTTGTTTACAAAATGGATTCCAACCGAGCAAATTGAGCCAGTCCATGTTCTGTCAACAATAAATCTATCATGTATAGAATATGGAGCGTCGCTACATTATGTAGAAGACGAGGTCCCGTGATTTCTGCAGATCGATAAAATGTTCCTTTCAAACAACTCACAAACATAAAATGGATACTAATTCAAAATCAGCTTTGGTCGACTTTATAAATTCCAATTTATCTCAGATTCCCTTCAAAACTCTCCGCGAACATGAACAAGAGCCCTCTGATGAACACAAATTACATGCAATGAAAGAAATCCTGTATACAGATCCTGGTCTGTTCCTTTCAAAGTGGGGGAAATATCTGCCAAATGAGCAATTGTCCAGGTTTGAAGTTCTTAGAGGTGGTTTACCCATCGTACTTTTGCATTGTATTGCGCGATATCGTGATCAAAGTTGACTGTAAATTTCAATACGATAAAACGAAGATGATTATGAAGTTCAATGGCATCTAGAACAGTTTAAGAAAGAACGCACAGAGGGAACGGCTCCAATAGACACACAACAATCAAGTCGCCCATCTGAAAGGAAAGATAGGAAGGTTCTTAACAGAAGATATGTGTACCTGATCACCAGGCTCGACAACACGGCATATTTCAGTGACGAAGAAATGGAAATGAGAGATCCGTTGCTCTATGAAGAATATGTCGGAAAGTATATACCAGATGAAGAGAGGTATCGTCCGTTCACTGATGATACAAATCTTGTGGATAGAATGTATTATGATATAGGTAAGTGAACGTGTAGGAAACAGCCTAAATCCAACACAATACAAGCATAACAGTAGGTATTGATGATTACATATTTGCTGATGTTATATATCATAACGCACTAACTCAGATAATGATTGATTCTCAACCCAATAATACCAAACAGACCAACACCACATTCGTGAAAGAAGAGAACTGGAGCAACGTATAATGGAAGAACAGACGGCAGAATCCGAAACATCGGATGAAGAAGATGTCCCAGCCACCCCTCCTATCAATGGAACCTATAACAGTACTGCCATTCAGAATGGCCATCGGACGTATTCAATGGACGTCGATACAAGCAACAATAATGAAGCATCGCCAACGACTAACAGCGATCAATCAGCAGACGTCGCTCAGGGAGATATACCCCAAATATCAGAAGAAGAAAAACGCGGACTCAGAGATCAGCTTGTTGATATTATGAGAGCGAAATTTCTCAGTGGAGATGATGTAAGCCTGTTGATGATAACAAAATCGCGTGTAAATACCTCATCAATTTAACCGGTTTTTATTTGAAAATTTAATAGCCTGATTTTGATTATGATTCTGTTGATTATAACGAAGAGTATGATGATAATGAACAAGAGGATAATGACATTCAAGATGCATATTTTGATGAAGGTATGAGAGTATCCTTAAATTCGGTGATACTGTAGGTGTGTGATCTATCTTTTTATTACTATTAATATATCTTTGTCATCAGAGGAACCAAACGAAATGCAAGGAGAATCGTCAGGAACAGGAATTCAAGACTTTTGATATGAACAACGAGAAAGACTAATACCAAAGATTACTTATATTGAATTTACGGGTATAATCTATGAATCAGCTACTATAAGTTATCTTCCGCTCTCCGGATGCACAACACGATGACATCTCCTCTACGTCTAGAGTCATCGTGAAAGTGTGAGTTGAAGAATCTGGCACACTACATGCAAATGTATATTTAATGGTCAATGATAGTTAACAAAAAGATATCTCTCGAACATTAAACCAAATGTTTAAACATTAGCATTATTAAATACCTCATGATAAGATGAATCCGTTAATAATGTTCCAATGTCAGACATGAGATTCTCAAACATGACTAAATGACTTGGCCATTTCCTTTTATTGCTGTCATGCACATGCATCATGTTATCGCGGGGCACCTTGTCGAATTCTCGTTGTAAGAAACCAACCGGGTCAGCATAAAACATATCGGATTCATCCATGTAATTGTCAAGCTCATTCTCGGGAACCCTGACAATATTTAAAGTTCGTTAAGCAGGCAGGTTGAATGCATGTTCGTACATTGATACGGCATAATTATACAATGCCTATTACAAGAAACTTACTCGATTGGCGGTTCACAAGTCAAAAACCAGATAGGTACGTTGACGTGGAGATTACAGTATCCCGGAGTCGAGTGGCACGGCATCAAGAAGCCGATTTCAGAAACTCTCCCATTTTGTGCTTCCTTTCTCAAATAACTCATAACGTCTACCACTCCCCTTTGATGGATCAACGACATGTAGATGCCGACGGGTAAGTTAGTTACGACCAATAGCACTAATAGTAATTTCGATATTCGAACTCTCGACGATAGGTATTGAGTGATGCCAAAGGATGTGAACATGATGAAAATGGGAAGGAGCGGTTGGATGAATCGGAATTCCTTGTGCGAGAGAAGACTGTAACCAGATATCACCCAGACGAGTAGAAAGAAAAGTGTGCGCAGTGCATTGTGTTTTGCAGACGGCCCCATTTTATCGCCAACATCCTGCGCTTTGTCCAATTTTGTATATTTTTGATAATGCCGTATTGTACGCGCGATCCCAAGAATCGTGAACGGGAGCATACTCGTCATCAGTACCGGAATCCCCGCAACGATATACCAATACCATGGGTGGGTGCCGTAGAAAAGGGAAACGTTCTTGTAGACGTTGAAGTGAACGAATTTGTATGGCGCGAAGATTAGGGTTCCGTAGAAAATATAGTCTAGCGAAACCATTATGCCAAATGCCAAAATCCTGCTCGAATAAAGATTGTAGAGACAGCAACAAGTTGTTATAAAGAGTTACTGTTAATGAACTTGTACAGCGCATTCATCTTACATTATGATGGACGTATTGATTATTATGGACATTGAATGAATGCGCGTATTTAATAAAAGATAAACTCCAAGAAATATCCAAATTATCGCGTTGGTTGGCCTGAGAATACACGATAATGCTGCTAAACATAGTGACATTCGCATGTTTCTAAATGAACGGGAAACAATGTCAGTCATTTTTTGCCATTAATTAAACCGCGTACCATCTCTGTCAACACATACTTTACCCGTACACTCCACTGTCCTTCACCAATCGAAGGCCATGGCCAATAATACAAAGCGACTGTTGTAAGTACAGTTTCCATGCTGTTGGATAGAATTCGTACTGAGCTCATAAAATTGAACCATGATATCAATGAGCACAGTAGCTGTTAGAAAAGCAAAGTAACGTGATAGCGGTAGACGGCTAAGGATGAATATCAATAATCGAGTAACAGTTGCAGTATTTGAATTTAATGATCCAAAGAAAAGAATACAGCCCATCTCGCAGTGTCAACGGAATAAAAAAGGGAGGCTAAACGACAAGTGTATATATCTCCAATTGCCGCAATTATGCCTTGTAGTATCCTCGGAGCATAGATCTTTAATGTAGCGAAATCTTAAGTAGCTGATTCAAAGCATAAATCCATTTTCCCCTTCCGCGATATACGTACAAACAACTGTCCATCATCAAGCCTCAGCAATTCCAGTATTTTATATAAAATTCCAAATATCATTGGATGTGCAATGCTTCTTATTCCCTCTCTCCATTCCCATGTCAAGAATCCATACGTGTTAGATATAATTAAATTAAAGATAATTGAGATGTAGAAAAACAGTTCAAGAGGTATTCGGCCTTTCTCACAGGCATCACATCACGCTTCTATCATCGTTAACTATCGAATAATTAGAAAAGGATATCCGAATATGACTCGATGCGCAACTTCGAGTGATTGCCAGTATTCATCTGGAACGTAATACGTCTGCGTAATAAATGCGTTAATGATACGATACACCAGAATAAACGTAATAAGGTGATTACTGAGGAATGTTGATTGTAATAGCTTGGAGGACTGAGTGGATGACTGAGTATCCGATTTGGTGGACATTTAGAGTTCTGCAACATTGTTTCGTCTATTTGAGCAGTGATCAAAAGATAATTGGCCAGAGTTTGTGTCGATCCACAAAATATCGAACTACTACTAAATCCAAGATAGTTTCAAAAAAACTGCACCGTAGAACGACAGTAGAGTGTGCGGATCATATTATTAAAGTTTGAAAAATGCTCAGCGTTATGACAATGTGTTGAGGATTTTCTTTGAAAAATTGAATGGTTTGCAAAAACATCAGCAGTTTGTGTTTTTTTTGAAGCAGCTAATCCAGGAATTGTCAACGTTTAAATGGTTGCAAATTGTGCTTTACTGAATTTTATTTGTTAAAATTAGAAAAGCAAGTGTTATTGAAACTGCCAAAGAAATTAAATCTAATACTACTACCCCGCATTTGTATTACAAAAGACAAAAATATCTCTATCATATCTCCCTATGTCGATAGGCGAATTGTCCACAGCGAATTATTTATTGGGGAGTAAAATTATCTAAATTTCTACTTTCATAAAAATAAGACATCGTGTGGCAAATAGATTAATTTACGAGAAGTTCCAAACGTAAAAAGCCGCTGAATTAAGCCAGCAGCGGAAACGAGAATTACCTTAAGGACATAGATTTAATAATCAGCAACACCAATGGAAGGAAGAATCCTGTGTAGTGAAAAGTCGTCCCTATTCGGTCACTAAACTGTCATTATACAGTCGCACCTCCGTAAGTGCACGCTCTCGGGACTGTGTGCATTTAGGGAGGGGTGTGCACTTATGGAACAACAAATAAGAAAATATGTTTCCTGGACTGACTGGTTTCCCACAAGTTAATTTCTTCGTGTCTCTGATATTCGGGAAATAGTATTTTAACTCTAAGTTTTCATTGTTTTTCGACACATCCAGTTCGTGTTTTTTTTAATAATACATGCATAATTACAGAGGTTTTACTTTTAGATTAGAGTTTGCAAAGCCTCTCCTGGACGATATGCGAGTCAATTTACGCGTCACTACTCATAATGACATGCGCCAATTCAGTCATTAACTTATTTTAGTATTAAAATTGTAAGTGATGTTGTTATTGTGACGCAGATATAGTTAACCATAACCATTGCTAATTTATACAAATATAATTACAATTTACTCGCGGAATTGAAACTCGATGTAATGGTAAAGAGTATTTTAGTTCGATAATGTACAAGCCAAAAATTAATTGTGCAGACACAGAATAATATTTCTCCAAATAGGATATAATGACTAATTAAGTATGTGAGCCGTTAAAAGAAAATGCATAAACTAAGAGAAACTCGAAAAAAAACTGTATACTACTCTTGCACATTAATAATTTTGTTATCCAAATACGAATGGCTGATCGACGGGTGAAGTTGCTTATACTTGCAGCGGTAAGAAAATATTCACTGAATGAGTTCAATAATTGAGTTTATGTTTGCTATATTTTCGCTCCGTTTAGTCTTTTGCTCATGTAATTCTATCAATTATTTTTGCTTTGTCTAACTTACACTTCAAAGCTGTTATAATTATTTTATAAAAATTAAAGATTGTCCATATAACATAGTAATAGTCAAATTGAATATGGATGTCTGTCTGAGTAAAACATAAAAATAGTAATAAAATTCTAACCTCAAATAATATCAGACAATCTGATTATGATGCCAGTTTTTGAATATGTTCACTACCCATGAGACTTTAAGTAAACGCGACTACCACGAGACTTTAAGTAAACGCAAATTCCCAAGGAGCTGTTCCAGACAGATTCCACATTTTATGCCTCTCAAAATAACAAAGTCTGGATTTCGAAAATGCCATTGACTATCAAACAAATTTTTATCGCGCGTGACTTATTGTGTCACTCATGTCTGTGTTATTGTTATTATGCATATGACCGCCTAATATAATAACAATTTGACATGATTAACGTTCTAGCATTGTCAATTTTTGCTATCGTGAGTAGTCTAAAAACTTATTTTAATGTTTGACCCAAGGCTACTGTTTTGATGCTTCGATGGCTATATACTATTACTATAGGATCTGGTATTGATTTCTTCGTATGGTTGCAACAATGTGTTTGCTAATAGTGTCCCAACCCTTATTACTATTACGGAATGCTCACATTTTATTCGATTCGTTGGTTGCCGGTCAACTTGAAGCTTAACTAAATATTCTTTTGACGATACGAAAGTTTTTGTCTTTATTAATTATCGAACCAAAGTCCACGCAGTAATGATCGACGATATCATGCTTACCGATCCCTTATATTTAAGCTACCCTTAAGGAAGTTTGAGCGACATTAACACCGTATACTCGGCGGTTGCCGGTATTTTATCGAAACACAAACCAAACAAATTCAACCCTACAACCCCAACCAAGATAACATTGTTGCCGAAAAATATATCACCAAGTCACACAGGGATGTTTGAGAGCGACTAACGCGATTGACAATAGATAAAAGTCCAAGCTTAATAATGACTATATTAATAGAACTTGTAGGATAATGACCTACTTTATAATGTTTGTGAAAGATGAGTTTTTGATTTTGACAGACGATTAATTAAAAGACCGAATAATCATATTTCCGTGGCAAGTAATTTTAATAATGACGTAATATCTAGAGTATGCGTGATTATCTTGATATGCCCCACCCCCAACATATGCTCGATTGCAATCGACCGACACTAAAAGAAATGAGATGCTTGAGAAACTGTGGTACTACTGTGATGGTTGATATTTTAGGCCCCCTGCAGTTCACACGTGGTTGATTTGGTAACTGTTCTGAGCTAACCGACTAAATGTCACCATAATATGCCATTTATTGATCGTGACGATAATGTAAAAGAAAATGTATATAAATTAAACGTCATTTTCGTCAAACTTCCCCCCCCTCCTTTTCCTCTCCCATCGTCAACTAAATCGTCTATCAGAAAATGGCTAAATCGTATCCAGAGAACGTTGGTATCGTTGCCATTGAGATTTATTTCCCCAAGAGAGTAAGTTTTCATCGAAACAAGATATTTAATGAATCAAGGGAATTGGGAAAGCTTTCAATGATTTGCGATGCCCAAAGATGGATTGATGACGGAGAATAAATTAACAGTATTCTTTATCCGAAATCGACTATTACCATCGACTGTAATTGAATATGCATCGGTTTAGTACGTCGACCAGGCTGAATACGAGCAATTTAATGGAGTATCTGCTGGAAGGTACACTGTTGGATTAGGAACGAAGAAGATGGGTTATTGTGATGACCGCGAAGGTAAGTGTTTGTAAAGCATTCCCATGTTCGACTGATTGCGTATTGTTGAGCTAAACTTGTTTTTGTCTTTAGATGTCAATTCAATTGCGTTAACAAGTAAGACCACGATAACGATAATGGATTTAATGAACTTGAAATACGTTCAATTACCTGCTACGCATGCTTATATTTTACCTGCCCAATGTAAATTCGCGCGACAGCCGTCCAGAATCTAATGGAAAAATACAAGATATCATACAAAGACATTGGTCGTCTCGAAGTAGGAACAGAAACAATTCGTGTGTATCATCTTTATCCTCGAAATAATGTTTTTTCCTTTTGTTCAGCCAAACGCCAGCAGTCTTTAATCCTCATAACCTTTTCTTTTCTTTTCTTGCCAAACTTATCCTAAAATAGTCGATAAATCAAAATCGGTAAAAACTGTCTTGATGACCTTGTTTGCTGATTCTGGCAATACTGACGTTGAAGGCATCGATACAATGAACGCTTGCTATGGCGGAACAAACGCACTTTTTAATGCCGTTAACTGGATTGAATCGTCTTCATGGGATGGTCGGTATGCTCTTGTCGTCGCTGGCGATATCGCAGTCTACGCCAGTGGTCCCGCTCGTCCGACTGGCGGGGCAGGATGCGTGGCCATGCTGGTAGGAAAGGATGCGCCAATCGTGTTCGAGTCCGGATTGAGAGCATCCCATATGGAGCACGTGTACGATTTTTGTAAGTTTTTAAAGGCCTGAGAAATACGTACGATATCGGTAGAATTTTCGCATCAAATATTGACGTGATATTGTTTTTTAGATAAGCCTGATTCAAAGTCAGAGTATCCTACAGTCGACGGACATTTGAGCAACACGTGTTATTTAAGAGCATTAGACAAATGCTATACACGTTATCTTGAGAGACTGGAAGCTAAGGCATGTATATCGACGAATCAACTCTTAAATTAAACTGCAATGATAAAAAAAAATCAATGACCGCACAATAACCCCCGCAAACCCGCTGCAACTTTTCCTCTCGTTTCTTCTAGCACCCAAATAACCCCCCACCAACAGTAGACGACTTTGCCTACATTTTATTTCACTCACCTTATTGCAAACTAGTGCAGAAATCTTTTGCCAGGCTTTTCTACAACGATTTCCGTCGCAATCCTGATAACCCAGACTATTCTTCTCTCAAAAATTTTACTTATGAGGAATCACTGACATCGAAAGACTTGGAGAAATCATTGCTTGCTCTGTCAAAAGCGGATTTTCTAAAGAAGGTGTCGCCATCACTGGATGTGTCGTCGCAAGTTGGAAACATGTACTGTGCTTCATTATATGGGTGTCTAGTCTCACTCGTATCCAACATACCCAGTGACGATTTGGTACGTCGTTATGTGAGAATATCGAATGTACCGTCGCTATTCAAAAGACACTCACCGATCACGCCTCCCATCTTTATAGCTTAACAAACGTATTGGCATGTTCTCTTACGGTTCCGGCCTGGCTTCTACCTTCTTTTCTGTCCGCATAACGTCTTCGGTTACCAATATCGCCAATAATCTTAATCTTCATTCGCGTCTCCAATCCCGCATTCAATTGCCTCCGGCGAAATTTGAAGAAATCATGAGTCTTCGTGAAGGATCATACGGAAATAATGGTTTCGTGCCGGTCGGAGATGGCAGTGCAATCAGTGACGTGTTGTTCGAGGGAACGTATTACTTGGCCAACGTCGACGATAAATGGAGGAGGGAGTATAAGAGATTGTGATAGATTAATTAGGTTTTGGTTTTTTGTCACAAATTTTCGTAGCTTGTGACGAACGGAACGTTTATTTATTAAGATAATCGTGTGTTATGTAATTGTATCAATTTCTTTCTAGAATTGATCCCCCAAGTCACTAATTCTGATTAGTACTCTCACATTTGTTTACTATTTTATTGCGCTCTCCGTTATATTACTCTTTGACTCTATTTATTGAGTTTCTAATTCCTAATAATCCTTGACTTTTTGGAAAAAGAAAATTATAAACTACCCCAATTCTTTCATAATTATTCTTGCTTAGGATCAATAATAATTTGTCTCTTTCCACCACCAGCAACCAGCTTAACCCGACTTCTCATGTCGAACGGACTACCATCATACGCGACGAAATCTGCAGTTGCGCCTACCGAAAATCCCTTATTTTTGCCCTTGCCCTCGACATGTTTACCGACCCCAAATATCCGCTCCAAGTTCCAGGAAATAAAGCCAATTGCATCCTTTTCCGAAATTGCATTGTTTTTCGAATTTTTGCACACCCATCCAGCATCCCATGCCAAATTTCTTGCCAACCCGGGATCTGATACACCAATACCTACCAAGACTTTATGCTCGTGCAATATCTCAATGTGTGTCTTGTTACTAATGGGAGGTCCAGTGAGTACGTTCTGAGCAGTCCACAGTTCGGGCACAGGTCTAGCCGGAATGACGACCACCGGTATGTTCCGTTTGGCCAAGTGAGATGCCAGCAAATAAGATTCGGCTCCTCCGACGATAACTAGTCGAAGGTTGCCCCCTGCCCCATCTATTTCATCCTTTAGACGGATTAGAGACGCGATTTCATCTTTACTATGCGTATAGACTGCGAACGGTATGTCGCCTTTCGCGGCGAGCGCGTAGAAATTTGGCGATCCTTCCAACGAGAGATTATCGGAAAGGGCTTTGCGCAAGAATGCTATTTGACCGGACACTGTCGTGACCGATTCTGTTTAGGAAAATGAGGTTAGATTGCTGTTGACAGGTGAACGTATTGAACTAGAGCTCAATTGTCGTTTGGTTGCAAGCATACCGTCTTTGTATGGGGTACCAACTTGTGCATGTAGTGCGACCTCTGCTTTGACAATAACTTCGTCCTCATCGTCAATGACTATTAAGTGAGTTGGTATCATTAATCATAAGCACAGATGATCTTTAATCGTTTGTGTGTGTAATAACGACGCCTTACCACTATTGCCGCCACTCTTAAATGCGGCGGACACACCAACAAGTACGCCTTTACGAGCCATCGGAGGGCTGATAATAGTAAGCACGCCCGCTTTGTATGCTTCCTCAAGATGCTTTCCGCCAAACTTTAGCCCGTCGACTGCGCGAATGATTATTCGCTCTGGATGATCGGGACTCTTAAATGAACTGACATATCCATCTTGCGTTATTGGTTCCTGTTCTATTTCTGACAACCCAAGATCAGATCCAGCGGCAATGATGCCCTAGAATGAAGCAATTGTGTTATAAGTTATTCATTCACAATACGACGATGTCAAAATTAATGAAAATAAGCTTACTGGCAATACATATCCACCGTTCAAATCAACCACGTCATATCCAATTGTATTAGTGATAGTACAATCTGACCCAATACACATAATGCGGCCTTCACTAACGGTTATTGTGAGTGAACCAGTAGCCGTTGATTCCATGATGGATTCTTCGCCAACAAATATTTTACCAATGTTCTTGATTATTACCGAAGATACAACACGTTCTTTGGTATCCACAGGAGAGTGTCGTGTGGCATTATAAAACGTATATGTCTCATCTGTTGGACCGCTTAGGACGGACGAAGAAGTGTTAAATTGAGGAATCCCATCAATGAAAACCTCCAATGGATAAGCTCCCAAGGCGAGTGGATGTCTATTCCATACCTTAATGGCATTGTTCAAATAAATGCGTGCTATTAGTAAGATCAACAATAAAGCAAGCACAATATTGGTACAATTCTAATATTTCATTCTATCAACGTTTTCTAATCCACATACCAAAACGTCAGCATCATATCCAACGGCAATTCGTCCAACACGATGATCAATTCCCAACGCTCTAGCAGGAACAGAGGTTATGGCAGCAAGAGCTTGATGTTCACTGAGGCCATAATAAGAAGCTATAGCAGCTTCGAATGCTAAATGTTGCTGATATATAGATATAACAAACGGTAGGAAGAGACAAACATATCCACCAGTTATGCTCACTGATGACATATTATCTTTTGCATAACGAGTAATAATATTATTAATCGAACAATTACCGAATTGAGTACTGGGTGGTCACTTTTCAAAGCAACTGGAATTCCTGCTTCCGCCAAAATTCTTGGAGATTGTGTGCTCGCCTGGAAAGCTTCTTTCTTATATCCCCAGTGATCGGCAAACGTGGCTATTGTGATCTGATTTCTACTGCGCTTGATTATATCCGGGATTCTATACGCATCTAGCGCATGATGAAAGGCCGTGATGTTGAAGTTAAACTCGTATGAATGACGAATCATGGCTTCGAGATCCATAGTCTGCCAATTCGGGAAAGCACAATAGAAAAGGACACACCCAATTAAGAGCCACGCCCAAGTTTGCATTCGAGATAACTGATCTGTAATGACCTACCTCATAGCAATGAATATTCAATCGAACATCACCCCTCAATAAAGCAACCAAGCTCTCATAGCGAAGATCTTCCGGAAAAAAGGAATCCATTGCCTCGTTATAGTTTAGACGTAATGCCGTATGACACCAAGTATCTTGTGATGCTTTGAGTTTCGATGCCGCGTCAAAATTCTTCCTGAATAACCACGCTTCACCGAGACGCGATTTAGGCATGCCTTTTCCGCTGTTACCAAAAGCGTTCTATATCACCGGATAAAGATCGGTTTCAATATTACTTTTCAATTTCCCAACTAGTCAAATTTTTTCAAACAGACTCGTCGGCCTAACCTTTGGATTCTCTCCACATGCCATTTTCATCCATCTCCATATTCGTTCGGAGCCTGGATCTACATTGGCATTGATACCCATGTCCTGGACAGACAAGGTACTAACGGGACGTAGCTTGATAACGAATCCTTCCCCACCCATCAACTCAGCACTTCCCGGGATTACTGACGTCCGAATAAATTTAGCATGACGTGATTGCTAATTAAGAGATATGAACTTGGAATAGGAAAAATTTACTTACTCAAAACAGTTGTAACCCCTCCAGAAGCAATAATTCTAAATGCTAAGTGAGATGGCTAGAATTAGACTTGGTCGCATCATATAGAATACACGAGATGAAAATCTCACCTGGGTCGCTTGGATTAATGGCATCGATCGTCCTAACCTGATCCCAAGTAAAACGAATATTACTATTATGCTACACAACGATTACAGTGCAGTAATGTGACTTACAAAAGGTGTAATAGGGTCTGTCCTCTCGTTGACATCAGAGGATCCTCTCAGTTCAGGCCATGAGTCAACCCCAGCATGGCTAACAGAACATAGATTCCTTATCAATCATGTTTCTGTAGTTAATAATCAAACCGCAAAATCATACCTATGCATATCGACAATACCAGGTGATATAAACTTCCCATGAACATCAATAACAACATCTGCTTCTCCTTCATCAATCTCGTTTCCAAAATTTTCAATAATACCGTTCTTCATTAACAAATCACCGCGTACAATACCACCGACACCATCAAGGATAATTCCATTTTTTAGCAGCACGCTCTTAGTTCCAGGTACAGCTCGTGGGTTATGACGCGTCGTTCTTGGAATGTTCTCAGGCCTTTGCTTCATTATTGCCATGCATTTTTCTAAACCTGCTCGAAAGTTGCTTTGTGATATTCTACTAGACACTAAAATGCGTTGCGAATCGGTTTGCACTTTATAAACTGACAAGAGCGTTGACGTAAAAACAACGATAAATAAGAGAAAGAGTGATATTTTGAGATTGTTTGATCTAAAGTAGTGCTGAAAAAAGCCATGTGGCCGAGTGTGAAGGGTATCATAAAACATGATAGCTCTTTCTTTGGCCATATGGACTGATAAGATCGAAACAAGTCTTAAATTCTTCCCGTTCCCAAAGGTGGGCAAATATTTGATTGTATGATTATCTAGGGGATAATCGGCTGAACGAACCTCTTTCGTAACACAATGCAAGTCATGGGGACACTAAACTACATGGGTATGTCAAAAAGTTCTTGCCGTATACCTATCATTTTACAGTCTGATACGCTATTAAGACTAACTAAATAAAAGCTCAAGTTTTGGTCTTCGAAATAAACCAAATCTGGATTGTTCAAATAGATAATTGTGGAGATATCTTTGTTCAAAGTTCGTTCATCGAAACCACTGGCTTGAATTTTACGCAAACAAAGCTAATTTTACATATTTGCTAAAATGACAAGATGTAACAGACTGCCCGCCAATCATGACAGTATTGCGCCTCATCGCATAACTAAAATAATAGAATTTTCGAAGCAAGGAACTAGTCAAGTTATTGTCTCATCTATTCTTCGCCTAAATTTGGTTTTTGTCACTTCTTGTTTTATTTTAAAATCATAAAAAATACTTGGTCAAAAAAAGTGTAACAGGATTTAGGGCCTTCAAGCAGTTGTTTTCAATATCTCATAAGAGGAGTATTATAAGTCTTTTGAAAGTTGGTGAAAGGATTACTAAACGTACAAATGTAGGAGATTATTTTGAATTAAGTCAAGCGGCAAAAACTTTTGAACCCCCCCCCCCCCCCACGTATATCGACATTAAGGACACGAATGCTATCAAAAAAGTCTAATATATACAGTCCTTTAGGTTGTAACATTGCCTGTTGATTAATTACGCTAATGGGCGGAATGAGAGTTTATAATTAATTATATAAGACGAATATCATTGTTTAATTAATATACAGTATGTTGCAAAAGTTTTTTGAAAATTATACGCGTACGAGGGAGGACTCGACTTTTCCGTTTTACTCGAATAATGGATGCTAACTTTTATGTCGACAAAACATCTGCCAGTGATCAATAAAATGCTTGGTGACGATTGGAGGTTTCAACAGGACAATGACCCCAAACATACAAGTAGTATTGCCATGTCATTCTTAAAGGAAAACGTGCCCGAAGCTATGAACTGGCTATCCAACAGTCCAGACTTAAACCCTATCGAAATCTCTGGCATATTGTTAAGACCAACGTAGAAAGGGCAATGCCTAAAAGTCGAGCACAATTGGAAGAATTTATAGTAGAGGAGTGGAATAAAATTTTAGAGAGTATTATAATTAATTTAGTAGAATCTATGAGAGACAGATGTCGGTTGGTAATTGAGAGAAATGGCGAATGTATTCCATATTAAATTTAATATAAGAAATGTGTAGGTTGTAACATTTCAAATGAGGTATTAGACATGTAAATTGGTACGGTGGTTATGGAGTTATTAAGAATAATTCTATTCCAAAAACTTTTGCAACACACTGTGAATAGCGAATCGCAGTATACTCTCTTATATACTATAAATAGTTATTTCCTTGATTTTATTATTCTAGTCGCAGGTACCCTTATTTGGATACGAGTACCGGAAGTACATCGTATTAGTATAGGGAGTATGTTACGTACAGTATAAGGCTTAGCCATTCAGTCTTACGTGAATAATTACCGTAATACGAGAGCTAATTAGGTAAAATTGCCGATCGCAAAATATGATCCATGCAATCCATCGTTTTACCGTATAGTTTCTTAATTGCATCACTTAAATATAGTACGTCTAGACATCATGAAATTTAACTTGATACTTTCAGAATAACTGCAACTTGCTAGATATAAGTAAAATCAAAATCGTGGCATTTTTATTCTGTCCTCCCGCATTATTACGAATTATCTTTAAATACTTTTTACCTTATTCAATTTTTTAATTCCATTGAATACCATACCATTAGGACCTTTGTTGATAATTTCGTCTTTACTGAGAACATACAGGTAGTTAATTTTTTCGCGCATTGCTTCATTTGAATGTGCAAATAAAATGTACTTACGTGGAATGAGATAATAAATTTACTTACCTGTTGGTCTAAATGAGGTACGTGAACGTTTTGCGCTCAATCGTAACTGTAATGGGCAGTAGAGTCAACACTACAATAATCAGCATTACGGCGTAATTATCGTCTACCAATTTCCTCTGTTGTTTTGTTAATTCATATTTTTGTGGTAATAATTTTTCTCTAATTTAGCCCTTGACTAAATAAAGTTCTTTGTAAATTTCTCGTTTTTTTTTTTCTTACGGGCATTGTATTGTAGGTCGTTCCGAAAATATCGGCATGTGTCACATAAATCCGTTCTTGGGCTCACGATTTGAAGATAAGGCGTTAATTGGTGCCATAACTTGCGAAATGTGCGTTATCGTTTGCGATAAAATCACGATAGACTGGCTTGTAACTCGTTTCGGCTGGCAAAAGTGTAGGCGTCGAACAATTCGGTTGACGTTTCCACCAGGACTTGATAATCCATGTATTTTAGCGTAATTCTCGAGAAAATTCTTTACAGCGGTAGCAACAGTTATATCAACGGTTATTTTGGTTTTTCATCGTAGCTTCTTTACATTACAGTAAACACGTAAAATTAATACCATTTGTTGCCAGATAATTTCTAACATTCTTCTGACAAAGTGGCGCATCTTAATCTCAACAAAAGGTCCTTTTATTTTAGTACGCGTTTTTTTAAGACGTCGGCTGGCAGTTATTTCTCCACCATTCATTGCTTTCAACTGGGCCATTGTTCGGATCTAGAAAAAGCTTGAAACGCCTCACGTAATTTAGCAAACCTTTCTCTTGGAATCTTTTTTTGAGCAACTACAATTGCAATCTATTTCCAAAATACGTGCCGCTTTTTTGTACCTTATATTCGTGGTTTTTCATATACGGGTAATATTATATATGTATATATTTTTTTAGGCTTTGTCGTGTCAACCAATCACGGGAGAGCAGATGATAATCAACACGGTTTGAGATTCAGGCTTAGGCCTTCGAAAGTGCGTGGCTCACCTCGTGCGTTCAGCTGAAAATACTACACAACAGTTAGTGACCTACTAT